CACTGCTGACAGTTTGGTGGCATGTTTGAGGATTGAGGTTTTCATAAGTACGACAGTCTACATGTATATCAGATCTGGATTGGTAAATTATGCCACGGAGTCAGAAGCTGAGATCAACAAATAGTAACGGACTGCAACAGGTAAGACTCGCCTTTAAAGTAGTGATTTTAAACAGTAAGGTTAAGTTGTAACTATGGAGTTAAGTATTTTTTTTCCAATCATGGTCCAGTAAATCGTTCCTAGAGGCAGAGTGAGGCAACCTTTGTAGCTTGTGTTTTCATGTATGATAGCTCAGTATTCAGGCTTAATGACATAAAACTTTTATTTTGGTACCTAAAGAAAAACCTGATATTACTTAAGATTTGAAATAGTTTCATTCTTCACCATAACCAAGTAGAGCAGCACGTCCAGCTGCTGGATTCGGTTTTTCCCAACAGGATCCTGTAGAAGCTCATACATGACCTGCCTCCAGATGACTGTTTTTGTCTCTCTATGCTGTATTGCAAGACAAGATATTTTTTTATGATGATGACATTTATTATGGAGCATCATGGGCAGTGTAGGAAGACTGCACTGTAATCCCTTCAGTACTGCCTGCGTTGTTTTTCTGAAGGAGATTGTTCTATGTTCCCATTTCTACTTTTTTTTGTGCCCTGTCTTGTCCTTCACAGTGACCTAATTTGTCAACAAAATACATACAGTAAATACAGTAGAAGTGTAAATGTGAATACTTCTACTACTTAATCTCCCACAATTACAATTTATCACACTTTTCATCAAAACTTAAGCCGTAGTTCACATCAAAACATCCTTCCAGATAACAGTCATGTTGACAACATGACAAATCATTGGACTGTCTTATCCCTGTGTAGTGACACAGTGTGAGGCCCTGACATGTTCACTGACTTACATTTTTACTTTTGAGAGATGAACTGAGGCTGCTGTGTGGCTGTTTGTATGAATGCCTTCGAGAAATGCCCCAAAATGACTGAGAAAAACTGTAATTAGTTCATCAGACAGACAGACGTCACATGATAAGCTGCAAATAAGTAACTTTGGCATCATCAGCCCCCTCTGGTGTACACCAGTATCTTTTTATAGTCTTTACATGGTGCACACTACAAGTGGGGACCCTTGGCTTGGTGTTTATATTTTTGTGTTTTGTCTTTTTTTTTTTTTTGTCCTGCCACCCCTTTGGTGTTCTGCCCTGGTCAGAAAGCCATGCTGGTTATATGAAAATCCACCTCATCACAACTTCCCACAGAACCTTTCCAGCCTCTGCTTAGTTTTGCCAGTTAGTTTTTGGTCGGTCTACAGTAGCTTGTATTTGGTACCGAAAAACAGTGTTATCTAGTTTTGTGGTGCTAAACAAAAAATAAAGGTTGGGGTCACAAAGTTCGTTCAACAGCTTCAGCTTTAGTAAAGAGTTTCACAAGAGCCTGGGGAAGCTTTCCTCTCTGAAAGAGACCGGCATTGCCTCAGTGTTGGTGTTTATAAAAAGCCTGTCTGTGTGAGTTTGTAAGGCGCGGGGGGCTGGGGGTGGAGTGCAGAGGGGTGGTTGGACTTTCCACAGCACTTCATTATAAGTGGGAGCAACATGGGAGGAGCTAGCAGAGCTAAAAGAGACCAGCTGAAGTGTTAGAGGCAGAGCAGCAGCAGCAGGACCAAGGTGAGTAACATCCTCTGAAGGAGGATTCATGCACATTAACTTTGTCACTCCGTTCAAGTTCCACGCTGATGTCTAACTAAGACTGTTTCTTAAAGTGTTTAAAACTTGATTCAACATACACTCTTAATTATATGGTGCTCTCATTTGTATTTCAACAGAAGCTGTTTAGATTTTTAACACTAACATAAGCATATTAAAATTATTCGACATTAAAAAGTATCAAAAACTGACTAAACACAAGCTTACACCAAATCATCTCTTCTTACGAGTTTATTTCCATTGACTGACATTTTGACATTTTTTTTCTTTTCTCTTTTTCTTTCTTTTTTTTTAGCTTTTGTGGTCCTTTGGTCTTTTTTCTCTTCCCGGATTAGGATTTGGACTGAACCAGACTTTACAATGCGAGTTTGCTCAACCCCAGAAAGCCTCCGACTGAACAACATCCTGAATCAAGGAGGCAGATGGATTAGAGGAAAACTCAAGAACATAAAGAAACCATCCAGGCCTCAGGTGGGCGTCGACTCTTCCCCAGTAACAGAGGAGCCCCAGTCCCAGTCATCTGAGGACGAAGCTTCCCTAGATGGTAAGAGACAGTCCAAGATTTCACACTTCACTCGAACCGTCAGCCTTCAAAATCTCTGATTAAAAAAAAAAACATTTCTTCTCTCTTCATTGTCTTTAGATTCTCTAACCTTCGAGGAACTTCTTGAGCAAAGCTTGTACGAGGCCAGCCTTGTGCTGATCAACAGAGAGAATCAACTGTTTGGGAAGGAAACCGACAATGAAGTGCAGAAGTGTCACACAGAAGAGATAGAAAGGCTTTCTGCAGAACGCAGAGCGCTGGAGAAAAAGATACAGCAGACTCTGCAGCAGAGTCTGACTCTGAGGCCCGAAGAGGTCGCCGATGAGAAGGCGGTCCAGACCCTGACCATGGCCTTAAAATCTGCTGTGAAGGCCATCTACCAGGAAGAGCTGCAGGACCTGCAGAGGAAGCAGCTGAAGAGTCGGACTCCAAGCAACTGGAAGGAGCTCCATGACTCAACTCTTCGTGATTTGGTAGAGAGCCGGATGGACAACCCCTCAGTGACCCCCACAGGCCAACCCGGACAATCATCCATCCAGCTGGACGTCCAGGGCATGGGGAGGCAGCTGAAGGAGGACCTGCTCTTGGTGGTCAATGTGCTGAAAAGCTGCTACCCACCGGAGGCAAACATCTGTCAGTTTTATGCGTGGCTGTATCACCAAAACCTGAGCGCCAGACTCAATAAGATTGTGGACTTTGTTCTGGATGATAAAGACTGTACTTTCATCCTGCGCTGGGTCAACGAGTATTACCCAGGGTAAGGCATCATCTCCATTTCCCTTTAAAACAGTTATTCTGCACATATACGTCTTGCAAAACTTCTTTGGGAATAGTTTATGAGTATCTGGGCTTGGAAGCAGTCCTACATTTCTAGTCAGTGCTGTTGGATGACATTTCACTCTGGATAGTTTGTTTTCTTTGGGGAGTTTAACTTTATATGGGAGTTTTAAAGCTTTATGAACACAAACATTCAGCAACCGCTTCTGTTAGGCTTCAGTTCTGGTGAATGTGTGTATGAACTCCTGAATGCAGTGGGAGGCATTTGGGGACTAGAAAAGTTCAGACCACTTTGTGAAAAGTTCATTTATATCAGCAACTTTGTTCATGTGAAACACATTACTGTTAGCTACTCTGACATCGTTAAAAACACACATCATACAGTAGAACTGTGACAGGTTTAGCATACATATCAGTGAAAAAGAATAACAGTTCAAAATGTAAAATATGCAATAATTAACAATTCCAGTTATGTTTACTTTGCTCCCCAAAAGCTTATTTTTAAAAACTGACTTCTGTTCAAATTTTATGAGTTAATGGTAGACAGATCCACCCTTTCATTTTATAGTCTAACTGCACACACACACACACACACACACACACACACACACACACACACACACACACGCACCAAAGTTTTCAAGCCGTTATTTCGGTTAGTTATGATGATTTTTTTTTTTTTTTGCTTAAAGCAAATGAAAACATGACATTTAGAATTTAGAAATTAATTTAGAAAGCCAAAAATATGCATGTTTTAATATATGAATGAGGGCTTAACAAAAAGTATGTTTAACACCTGCTTAAGAGTTGTTATTTTCAAAAGGTACTTATAATCTCACAAACGAGGCTCATTGAAATGCATGTTCCAAATGATTAAATGTAAATCATAGCTGAGTTAGTGATGTGTCAAAGTTATGTGGGAAAAAATGAAGCGGTTCTGCTTTTAATTCATAATATTGCTCAAAGGACTCTGTCAGACAACTGCTGAAGTTTAACATTACGATGATTTACTGTCTTACAAAAAGAAAAAAACAATAAGACAAATACAAGAACAGAGAAGACAAACATAAGAAAAATAAAAACACAAACCAGACGAGGATGGATAATAATAAGAGAGCAAAACACTGATACAAGAACATGACAGGAATAATCCAAAGGAAAAACAAATAATCTGGGCAAAAGAATAAACTATGAAACTAGATTTGAACAAAGAGTAAAAGAAACTGACAGAATATGGAAAGATTTTGACATAAGAAAAAAGGGAATAAAACAACAAACCAACAGGAGCAACCCAGAGAAACTATTCAAGAGGGGAAACACCAGATGAATGTCTAAAAAACATAAAGTACCACTAATACCAGCAAAACTATGAAACATAATCCCTGTTGTGCAGAGATTTGCACATCAGTTCTTTGTTTAACACAAGCTCAACACACACACACACCCTGCAGTTGTTTCAGAGAGTCTGTGCAATATGGCAGTTGGCATAATCATGCAGACCTGCAGCACTGTGTGACTGAACCAGTTTATGTCAGCTATGGTACGTGTTTGTTCTTGTTTCTGAAGGTTAGGTTGACACAAAGTAAAAAATAGAAGTCAGTCTTAATTTGATCAAAAAGTCCTGTATCCCTTTCAATAAATTTCCTGGTGTGTTTCATCATCGTTTCAGAATCCTTAAGAAGCCGGAACTGGCCAAGGAAATTGATTCAGCAGCACTGGGGCAACTGCTGCCTAAAGATTTACTGGACAACCTGGAGGAGCAGTACCTGACCACACAGGAGGTAACGTAGTCATACAAGCAATAATAATAATATTAATAAACTGGATGGATAGTGTACAGCTCAGACATAAATGTCACTATTCAAGCCGTTGTTTCAGTTAGTTGGGAAATAACGGTTAGATGTGCTATAAACTATAGCAGATTACAGCACAAGTTAATTGCAGTTTCTTGACAAGTTATAAAAATGAATAAACAAGTCAAATAAATAAATTTTCTTTAAAAAAAAAAAAAACTACCAGGCTGCTTGAGAATCTGTTAAATTATCATTACTTCATTTCTTGGAGCCAATTAAAGCTGCAGTATGTATAAATATTTCTGTTATTTTTAAAAATTAAGCCCTTTTCTAAAACTAGAAAAGTCTCAGCGAGTGCTTTTTATTTTATTGCATCAAAAACCTCCTCCTCAGATTTTGACATTGTACTTTGTTTTTTTTTTGTTTGTTTTTTTTTGTTTTTTTTGTTAATTATGATGCAATAGTGGTCGTGACATCACTGGTTGCTATCACTAATGTATTATCAAGTTTAAACTATTTAATTAAAGGTTTAAAATGTAACTTCTTTTGTATGTGTAACAAAAATGTCTGTGCTATGTTGAAAGCTACTCATGGTGACTTTATAACCTGTCTGTGTTTGTTCAGACTGAGCTGTCAGTTTACCTGAACAAAGCTCTGGAGGAAGAAAGGAAGAAATTGACAAAAGGAGAACAACCTCCGACAGAGGACGGCTGCTTCACCAGCCCTCTGGCGCACGACGTCATTCCGGTAGCTACGTTAGCTAAACAAGCTAGCTTTACCATCTACTAAGGAAAACATTAACCAACAAGGAAGTTTCACTTATTAACAGATCTAACACTAATAACTCCTTCTCCTTCTACATGTAAACAATATTTTTGGATTATGATAACACCAATATTGTTCAGAATAAGTAAAATGTAGAATGTAATGTTTATTGCTTGTTTCACAATAGGTGACTGTATGTTTTTATGATAGAAAGAACTTTAAACTTTCTTGTCGCTCAAATATTTTATACAAATAAGCTTGACTTTATTTGACTGTTGTTGATAAATGTGTTCCATCTGTTCCTGTTTTCAGATTATTAATGGCATGGTAACCGTGGCAGAAACAGTCACAGGGAGCCCGCAGAAAGCCCAGAGGATAACGCGTCAACTAACCGATATGCTGCAGAGGTAACACAACACCTTCTCGACTCCCCCCAGCTGAAACGTTAACAATGTCCACAAAAACTTATCCGAACCGACTCCTGCAGGTTTAAAGCTTTCCAAGATGATATCATCAAACAGAACAGCAAACCACACGTCAAAGCCACCCTGGGCTGTGTGGAACAGTTCAGGTGTGTTTCTGATCCACCAAAAGATGAGATGGATTATCATTCAGAGCTTCATCACTCAGCTGCGGGTTTGTTTCTGTTTCTACAGGGACATCCTCCAGAGGAAAAGCCATTTGTTCCAAGCTGATGTTCAGGAAAACTGTTTGACTATCCTGTCCGACATGAGGCAATCCGCCCGTACCTGCTTATTAAGCTCCGTGCACAAGTCCCTCAAGGTATAGGTTGTTGTAATAAAGACTGAAACGGTGTTTTCATGTTGTCTGTGTCGCTCTATTTAAAGTTGTCTGTTCAAACCCAACCAGCCACAGTACCAGAAGCTGGGAACTGGAGACTGGCTGAAGAAGAAGAGTGTGTTTGAGAAGCTACTGAGCAGCTTGGAAAACAGCATCCAGGACCTGGAGGGCCTGGCTCCGTCCTGTTACCAGGTAACACCCTCCTGATTCCAGCACATAGTTGTCCATTTGTTTTTGCTTTTTGGTAATAGCAGGACTGAAATGTTCTTTTATTGTTTTTAGTGGGTGATTGGTGATCTTCACCTGGAAGTGACACAAGAATATGTGAAGAGGCTCCTGAGAGGAGAAGTCAAGCTGAAGGACAGAGAGCATCAGCAGAGGGCCTTCGACGCCGTGATGGACAACGCTGAGAGTTTACACAAGCTTTTCACCAGCATGGTGAGATTCAGTCAACATCTCACACACACGCACACGCATACACACCAAAACAGTTAAGGTTGTGGCCTAAGGCTTGTACATTTTCTGAATCCTTAGGGTCTGTTGAGTATTTCGGTTGTTAACTCTTGTGTCCCTGATGTCCCTGGGTGCCATTTGGACAAAATAAATGTATCTAGTTTAGGTGAAAGGCGTGGAAAAATGTGCAATGGTTTTGGTTTAATGAGTTCTAGTGACCTGTGTTCGGACTCAAAAGAGAAAGCCACTAGACTGCTCTTTAAGACAATACAAAACTCTACATTATAGATCTTTGACAAATGTCCATAGCATGAGCCTAGACTGGACATACACCTGTCTCAAAAATCAAGATTTGTCCAAAAGGGTTATTAACTTGGTCACAGCTGATGACTATGACTAAGCTAACAGTATAGAAGGGCTATCATACCAACATACTGTTTGGACATGATAATAATCTCTTCAAAAAATATGATTCACCTTTCTTATTCTGAGATGGACAAAAATGTGAAGTTTTGGCTTCTGGCCCATAGAATAACACTTTAACATTTTCCATTGAAAAATACTGATGAGTCAGAGCATCAAAGGAGAGGAAGGCCTGGAATGAAAAGGGTTTTTATTGTGCTGCATTTATATAATTTCATATGAATATCATTGATTTAAAAAAAAAGTTATTTTCTGAGCTACCAAAAAACATGGATGTTCTCTATGACTTCTTTAGAAAGATAGAACACACACTTCCCCACTCGATTCTTCTGAGAGTCAGAGGAACAGGAAGTATTAAATATTTTCCTGAGAAAAACAGGAGAGGAAAAAAAGGAAAAGCAGCTGCTTACTCAGCTCTTGGAAAAACAGAGGCCAGACGTTTAACTGAACTAATATCAGCAGAGTGAATGCAGCACGCTAGCACTTTAGCTAGATTAATTATTGTCCTGAATTCATCAGCACCAAAGTTATTACCTCCAACCTTTTGAAACTTATAAGCTTTTTATCAACATTTTAGCCATTTTACAATGAACAGTAAGGA